GTAGTGGTCAACTGCACCAATGTGCATAACTTCAAGGCGGCACTGGATGCGTGCTGGTCAAGAGGTTAGGTGGTAATGCATCGTCACCGAAAGCAGGGTAAATTGCAGTCATGAACTATGGCATTGGGGCTTTAAATTGCACTCGAAACTGATGTTTCAGAAAACTAAGGTCTCTCACCGACGAGGTGAGAAGACATCTCTTCTGTTTTCTCTTTTCCAGCCCGCTTGAGAGAACCTGGCTAAAAGAAACTCGGAAAACGCAGTGTTGGGAGCCAAGAACACCCGCAGACAACACAATAATCTGGACGGTCGATTGGCAAGAGCCATTATTCGTCCTGTGAAGACTGGACTGGACTGGACTGGACCTGACTGACCTTGAGAAGTAGCACGCTATACGAAATTTTGCTTAGGCGGCGTCGAGATGGTGAGTTGCGTTTTGGTTTGCATGCATTTTTGCTCTCACTTCAACCACAGGCTCGACGATATGACACGAGGACCACAATTTTTTCTCCTGAAGGTTTGTGGGATTCAGTTGATGAAAAGTCGCTTCATTAGGTCGTTTGTATCAGGTAGAATATGCAATGGAGGCTGTGGGTCATGCTGGCACTTGCATGGGTATCGTCGCCAAGGATGGTGTTGTTTTGGCTGCAGAAAGACGATTCATCAACAATCTGTTGGATGAAACTGCTTTCTCCGAAAAGATATACAAGATTAATGATGATATTGCCTGTGCTGTTGCGGGAATCACAGCGGATGCTACTGTCCTGATAAATGAGATGCGTCTAATAGCTCAAAGGTTAGTGAAGTGAAGAAATTCTCACGATACTTCTTTCCATCGTCTGTTTTCTCACTAGAGCCAGATGATCGTCTAACGCTTTCTTCTAACATATTCGTGATTTCGATTTCCTTTGATTCGCTCGAGTTCTGCTGATGATACGATTGAAGATGCGCGGTATTTTCCGAAGGTAGATTATTTAGGAGTAGGATCTTTTTGAGGGTTCCTGAGAGTCATCAGTCAGAGTTCCTCAGCCACACTGATGGCTTTATCACCGAAACCCAGGAAGCTTCGGTTGCGCATCCTAAGCTGGAGATTTGATAAAAGAAACTTGTTTCTAGACAAAAAGCTAGAACAATAACCCTTTATTTCCTTGGCAGCACCGAAATTTAGTATGAATCACGGCAAACCAGCCGCATGACCTAGCCCCTTACTTTCGGGCCAGATCTCGTAAACGCGAATCGCGTCCCTCCATACTGGTCAAGCTAAGACCTGGGATGAGGATATAAAATCCCTAACCATGAGTCTGGGTCACATAGATCCTGTTAGGTTCCCTGGATGGGGACTTCGGGATGGTCATACCTAATGGTTAGAGACAGTGATATGGCTGTGTCGTAAACAGTGACCTTCGTACATCTTGTCGATTTCGCTGCACTGAAATCTTAAATTTTCTCTTCGATCCTACTTTAAACCTTTCCTATCGTTCTCCTCATGTTCATCCAAATGGGTAGGCAAGACAGCAACCAAAACTGGCGCACGATTGTGCATGGTTAGTGGTTGTACAAACTGACCGACTTGCACTAAGGATGGAAATTGTGATGCTGCTGGATGTAGATCGTTCTTCGGCGGCAGCGAACTTAAAAATAAGGCAAAGCCACTTAAAATTTTATTTAATCGTTATCCTCCCCAAAATGCCTTCGTTCCACCGTCCATCCAAATGAGGTCGTTACTTTTACGGTTCCGTGGAGTGCTGTCGACACTCGTTTTGATGGAGTTCATCAAAATTTTTATGGGATTTGATATCACTGCCGAATGAGTTTTCAATTGCAGAATCACGGTTTTCATCTTCAGTAGTAGAATTGAGATCATAATCTCGCGGACTATTTTTGTTTAGGAAACTGATCAAGTGTCTGTACTTTCCTGATTGACAGTCACAAGTGTGTTGAACAAACGAACGCTCTCAGAACGCAAATTACGATAACTGTTTCATGAGTCCCGCCCGACAGTGTAGGCATTTGCGACAAGAAATTAGGGTATCCAGCTCGTTTGATTTCATGCATGAAATCTTTGATGATAGGCAGCTCTGCTGTCGCCCGGTTCAATACCACGCCTAACCTATCGGGGCCTTATGTAGCTAGCCACTTGGGTTGCCGGTTTCCACCACTGAACAGTAGGTCCTCATGACTATGTGGTTCGCCCCGTCTGCTGTTCATCATACTCAGGTGTGTGATAAAAGGAAATCAGACAGCTGCGGAATGTCCTTTACCAGTGGATTAATTACCTGCTAGCAATGTAAAATCGACCATATCACAAAGTGGATGTGGTCTCTGTCTTCATTGTAACAAAAACAAACAAAATCATCCTAAATGAAATCTAAAGTGAATCCTACAACCCTACTGGATCTGCTAGTCAAACAGTTGTATCGCATCTGGGATACGGAAAAGTTTCCCACTGTTTGGACGACCTACTTTCTGTACTCAAAAGGAAGACAAAACCATTACGCGAACTACGAGGTTTCAGCCACGGTTTTCACAACCGTTCGGGTTAATCACTTTGTTAGAATTCCCCAAGAAAATTCACCTGCCTTGACCTGGGCAACCTTGCAGTAGCGTAGCCACAGGCAAATCATGGAAATTGTTCCCTTTTATAAAGATCATTGTACTGCGATTTTGCACGGTCTGCACTCACAAGAACACGTTTAAACCAGTTTTCGCGGGTAAAGGTTGTGAAGGCCAGGCTAGTGCGAATCCTAAAACATCAAAAATCTAACAACCAACTTCAGTTAACTTCAGTGATTTTCGTACTACATTTGAATCTGTCACTCAGTCGTATTACTTAACTACGGAACCCTCGAGGAGTAAATAAGACTGATAAGCTCATATTACTGCGGCGCAGCCAAGACCATCAAAAAATATCAAAAGCTAAGTTCTTCACAACATACCTAAACCCGTGGTGGCGCATTGTTTTGGTTGCTGTCAACGGCATGCTTTGGATCCTGTAGTCCGAGGTTCGAACCCCGCCGCCGCCGCCGTGGAAGGCAGCTTTGATGTGGTCCGGTTCAACACCATGTCTAACCTAGGGAGGTCTTTGTGGTTCGCCACTGCAAGCCACGGGGATTAGGTTGCAGGTCACCATCACAGAACAACGGGTCTTAGTGACTGTGGGTTCCACTCGGAGGAGGGCATTTCTACACCTATACAAACCCTTGTTTACGCAGTGAAAAAGGCCTCCACACAACTCACTTGTCGAGCAGCCGTTCGTTCTGTTATACTTACTAGGCGTGGCCACTGGAGGTGGATGACAAGAAAAAGCTGCTAAGCGCATAGTTTGAACTCTAATGTATGGCTAAAATGCATAAGCATGGCCATGTTTGGAAACGGCGACGGCCCTTAACTTTGTGAAAATATAGAGGCCATCTTTGTTCCCTCAGTGACGCTGTCTTCAGTATGTTCTTTGAGTTTCAAGCAGACATTCATCGTTCAGGAGTGCTGGGATCTGATACCTACAATGCCCTATTCACTTACTAATTGTACGCTGGAGCCAGAATATTAAAATATTGATAAATTGAAGTGTATAATATAAGAAGAAACGTGTTCACCACTATGGTTCATGAATCATTCACTGACCGAAAAGAGAATCCCCAAAAAATTCCATCCCCAACACCTTTTCCGCATTGGAAATTTCGCATCGGGGACCAGCTAAAGATGTTGATGTAGTTATATTCGAGGTGGATAGTCTGGGGATTTGGTCGGGTTTTGGTTTGCATGACTGACGCAACACTTGGATTCCATTGTGCTCTAATGTTGCCGCAGTTTGTAACCCTCGGATAGCTGCCGTCAGAGATATCCAGGATAGCAGCTTACCTTCATATGAGAAATGAACTCAAAGTAAAAATAGGTAAACTGTTTTTGCTACATCTTTGCAAGAAAATCGTCTGTACATTGACACGCTTTTCCATGAATGCTATGAAGACCATCTCTTGTTCGGTGGCATCTCGAGCAGGTGATCTAACAAGCAGTCATGTAGATAGTTCTTCCTGGAGAGCAGAAAAAAATGTCAAAATGGCTCACCCGAATTTATGAGAGGCTGGCCTGGGGATGTCAGTGCTATTTAAATTGCATTAAGCAGAAAGGCCATGCGCCATCCCTAAAAATGGAACATGGCTACGATGTCTTTTGATGACAGTGTTGAAAAAAGTCTCCATTATTGCCTTTTTGTTCTCGGGTTCGTACTTGCTGTCTAATTTTCGTTTTTCTTAAGCTGCACGAAAGACTGGATTCTCCTATTCTGTACTTCTACATTCCATTGATTATATCGTCAAAATTGCACAAAAGTACCGATGATCTTGAAAGTTGTCTTTTAAATCCCTTTTATAATGATAACTGGACGTCCGTACTTTGCGTGTCGCAAAGGAATTGATCATATTGCGGACATCATGTTTCAATCTATTCACCTATTGGTTTGCCCTTTAGATATCTCCTTTCATATCAAGAACCTATGCCGGTTGAACAGTTGGTTTCACACATATGTGATTTACAACACGGTTATACTATGTACGGTGGTCGACGACCGTTCGGCGTTTCTATGCTGTTTATGGGCTGGGATGAGCGTCATGGTTTTCAATTATTCCAGTCCGATCCGTCCGGGAATTGTCTGGGTTGGAAGGCTGCGTGCATTGGGTCCAATTCAGCAGCGGCTGCCTCTATCCTTGAGCAGGATTACGACCCAGAAGCCACAACTGATGCAGCTATTAAGCTTTGTATCAAAGCTTTGTATAAAACGATGACCATGTCCAAATTGACCTCGGATAAAGTAAGTGTGATCATACCTATTCCGTTGTCGATCTTTTTATTTATTACTAACCGATTTTTAGCGTAACTCTTCTTATCTCATTTTGTAAAGACCTTTTAGTTCCTATGATTAGTAGGAAACCATGCACGAGATAAGGCACAGCTTGAAGGTTTTTTATTCGAAAACGGGAGGACAACTAGAAAAAATAGAAAAAAATCCTTACAGCTCTTTGATATGTCTTTGAATACATGCAAAAAGGTAGTTTCAGAAGAACGTCAAAGCGTTCCGGGTTTGGTTTTACGGTTTCTTTGCGTATTTCGTAGCCCTGCAGTCAAAATAATGTGGTGGCGGAGGCACCAGCTCAAAATTACCCGCTAGAACCGTTTCAGATTGATATCACGATTCATTATTATTTTCCTATAAATTATAATGTCTACTTGAAGAAATGTTCCTTAAAAACCTTCATGTAGAACAAGCTCGTCTGTCTTGTGCTGGCAGCAGGCAGCGCCCTTAACTTTTCGGAACGATATTCGTCAGAATTACTAGAGGCTCTTGTGTGCCTCGAGAGCCGCATACTAATGCTCATTATCCTTTGTAGTTTGATGGTACGCGCTCTCTGAGGTGTTGTAAATACGGAACTAAGCAATTTATCACACCAATTTATTCGAGTGATTCTCCTTTCTAATACCTAGACTCCAACCAACCAGTCGAAGGACAAAGCCTAGCTGGGCATAGATAACACCAAAAAGGCACTTCCGGATCTTCGCAAAACACAGCTGAAGATAAGATTGATCTCCAGACTAAATCTAGAGTTCACCTGGCAAGCACTCACCTGATACTAATCCTCGGTTTTATGAATTGTTGACTATGTGCTGAAGATTTATGGAAGCCAGATATATTGGATCATTGGTTTCCACGAGTGGTTTCTAAATTTATTTAGCCCTTGAAAATAGTAAAAACTACCTAGAACCGTCTTGCTGCAGCA